CACAGGAGCATCCTGCATCACACAGGAGCATCCTGCACCTCACAGGAGCATCCTGCATCACACAGGACCATACTGCATCACACAGGAGCATCCTGCACCACGCAGGAGCATCCTGCATCACACAGGAACATCCTGCATCACACAGGAGCATCCTGCATCACAAAGGACCATCTTGCACCATGGAGGAGCATCCTGCATCACAAAGGACCATCCTGCATCACGCAGGAGAACCCTGAGTTGCACAGGACCATCTTGCATCACATGGGACCATCCTGCATCACACAGGATCATTCTGTGTTGCACAGGATCGTCCTGCATCGCACAGGATCGTTCTGTGTGGTACAGGATCATCCTGCACTGCACAGGAACATTCCGAGTCGCACAGGATTGTCCTGCATCGCGCAGGAGCATCTTGCGTTGCACAGGACCATCCTGCATCACACAGGACCATCCTGCATTGTGCAGGAGCATTCTATGTTGTACAGGATCATCCTGCAGCACACAGGACCGTTCTGCGCTGCACACGAGCATCCTGCATTGCACAGGACCATCCTGCATTGCACAGGACCATCCTGCATTGCGCAGGATCGTTCCATGTTGTACAGGATCATCCTGCATCGCACAGGGGCATCTTGCCTTGCACAGGATCATGCCGTGCTGCGCGGGATGGTCCTGCATGGCACAGAATCACCCTGCATCGCACCAGACCATCCTGCGTTGCACAGGACCTTCCTGCATTGCACAGAACCGTCCTGAGTTGCACAGAATCATCCTGCATTGCACCAAATCACCCTGCACTGCACGGGATGGTCCTGTCTTGCACCGGATGGTCCTGCGCTGCGCGGGATCGTTCCGTGTTGTACAGGAGCATCCTGCATCACACAGGATCGGGCTATGTTGTACAGGATCCTCCTGCAGCACACAGGACCATTCTGCGCTGCACAGGAGCATCCTGCATTGCACAGGACCATCCTGCACAGCACGGGATCATCCTGAAGCACGCAGGAGCATCCTGCATAATGCAGGATTGTTCCATGTTGTACAGGATCATCCTGCATCACGCAGGAGCATCCTGTGCTGCACAGGAGCATTCTGCGTCATGCAGGATCGTTCCGTGTTGCACAGGAGCATCCTGCGCTGCACAGGAGC